TAACTGGTACGTTTCACCTTTGCTATGTTTCTTCAGCACATCTCTTTTTTGCAAGAGCTAGAGAAGATGGTCGCCGACAAGATGAATTTTATATAGAAATTTCCGTCAGTGCTCACGTCCTTATTGTTTCCACGAATGCTAGTTCATTATTCGCCACAGTACAGAGGTTGACATATTTGGTGATATGATGTCACTTTGTCGATCTTTTTTCCTATATATAAAGTGAAAGGTTAGTTGAATGGCTGTATTTTCGTCCTAAATTCCATGGGTGTTGGATAGACCTCCCATATAGAACGTAATCGCTTTCGGCGACTTGACGACATTCTCTTTGGCGTAGTCGAACGCTTTTTCATAATCAACAATGATCAACAAAGAGAGATGGTATTCTCCACAGAATTCTCTAAACCTGGCCACATTTCTGAATACGGTTTATGAAGTATGAAGTAACTGTTGGAATCCTATTTACTCAACTATTAAACGTAATATACGTTATAAGATAGAGATCGTAAATATCTTGTAGAGCACAATGAGCAGATCTCGGGACATCGGTCTTCGAACCCGGAAGTGCCATTACCGGACGCTCATGTGCTTTCCACCACGCCTGGTTTGGCCTTCTCTAGCCTAGTTTCTTACTCTAACAGTTCAGCAATCACCCGTCAACGGCAATGATCTGGAGAGTACAAATTGGCTTCGAATCCAGCTAATCTGAAGCTGCAAGAAGTTGCAATCGAATTCAAAATATCTTCATTTTTGATTTGCCGCCTATTCTTTCCTCATGGCAGGGTACTATGTGAAATACAACCACAAGTAGGTTCCGAGTTTTGTTCATATATCAACATCCTTGTGCTTCACATAGTATCCTGTAGTGAAAAAGGATTAGGAGGTAAATAAAAACTAAATTCTAATTTCTATGGTAATTGAGGTTAATAACACCCGCTTATCTTGGACAAGACAACCATGCACGATAACCTCCACTGGTTTTTCTTCTTCGAGTTTATTCCTTTCTCCATGCTCTTGATAACAAATCAGTTTTAACAGAAGAAAATCCTGTGTCGTCTTCCGATGTGGAATCTTTCACGAAACAACGTTCCTCATTAGATTCGACTCGGTGCGATCCAGAAAAACCATATCGGAAGAAAGAAGAGCTGTGGACCATCGGGTCGGAGTAAAACGGCTGAGGTAGAGGGAAGTACCAAAACGCTGTCCGAGTAAAGTTTTCTTTTATGAACCTCGTATTAGCTTATCAATAAAAAAACTTGTTGATTAGTCATACTGGTGTTAAAGAATAGTGGGTTTCTGGAATATCTATGGAAAGAAAACTTCTTGTAAAGAGCAAACCAGCGGTTTTCATTTTTCTTTAGCCCTCTTATTCTGAATTACGATACTGTATTTAAATACTGTGGCCTTCTATGTTATGACGTTGAAGTCCTGGGGAAGATTTTATAAGATTACTTGTTGGAAGTTCGTTTTTATCAGCTGCACAAGTTCGGGACTGGCGGTTGATGGTAGCAAAATTCTTTTCACGTGGAAATGACTACACAAGGTGAGAGAATCCCATAAATGTTGAAGGGATGGGGTAAGGTGGCCGAAGTAGCCTATGTCATTGGCACTTCTTGGGAGGATCTCTTCTTCGTGGTTGACACGTCCAGTCATTTAATTGACTTGTGTTGGTCTTTTTACTTTTATTCCTTTCTAATATGATTAGATTTCGGCTCGACCTGCACTATCTAGACGATAGTAAAAATTAGCACTTGAGGAAATTGTTCTGGTGTTGTAATCTAGGGCAAGAAATAATATTCATGAATTCCTTCTTTCCATCAGCCTCCAACTGCGAATGACATCTTGGACGAGACCATTTAGATCATCAGATTTTGAAGCTGCTTTATTGCCATTTGTGCTATATGTCACTTCTTCGCCTTCTCTAAGGTAGCCTTGCTAAGGTGTTCTTAGGTGAGGACCACGTGTAGTCCTCGGCGAGTATTGCATTGATGTTTGCGTGACTAGCTTGCTACCAAGATGACAGTGATTCTTCGTGAATGAAACTAAAGGTGTACACTTAGTAGAGTTTTGGGATAAAAAGCTCAGATAATTCTTTGTATTCTTGTTGAGCAAACGCGAGGTGTTATTTTATTCTTTATTCACGAATAAGCTGACGTTTCGGCTGATTTCGCCTTCCTCAGAGCCTGGAAAGGTCAAGATGACAGCAATCTATCTAAAAAATCTAATCTAATCTAAAAAAAGTCAGACTTGCTCGAGGCCCTGATGAGGGCATGAACTCCATATGCACATGGCAGTTGGAATTCCATGAACAAGCATTATAAAACGTTGTCGTGACTTTTTATTTCTTTTCCATTGCTTTCTTAATGGCAGGATATTACGTGAAATACAATCATAATGATGCTGAGATATTTGTAAAACTCCGGAACTTTAGTGTCTGCGGTGGGGACCGAACACGCTATTACCTTTTCCGGGGCTAATAACATGTTCACTACTACAGCGAGTCCTTCGTTTCGCGTTTCTCTCAGCCGTGATATTGACCTATGGGTGCTATCAGCAATCATCCATCAGCGGGATTAATTGATCTGAGGAGCACAAAGCGGCATTGAACCCAGTTGAGCTGAAGCTGTAATATAAATCACAATATCATCACTTTTTATTTACTGCCTACCCTTTTTAATAGGAGGTTATTATGTGAAACATAATCATAATGGTGCTGAGATATAGTCCCGGAAAGGTTAATGGCGTGTTCGATACCCACCGCAGACACCAGCGGTCCGGAGTTTCGTAAATATCTCAACATCATTATGGTTATATTCCACATTATGAGAGTGTGAGAGTTAGTCGTTTCAAGAATGTTCATATTATGGGCAGAAATCGCAGCCGGCAGTCAATATATCATGAATTGACTCCGTTTAAGGGTCGCACAGCAGTTAATTTATTATCAATGGGTACCGTTCATCATGGCCCTGGAAGCGGCATTCTTCTATCTTCCAGTGATTTTCTGGAGTCAAGTTAACAACAAATCTGGCTTGAATGTTGAAAATCTCGTCCGACTAGCAATTGCCGCAGAAACATCAGAGGTAACATACATTTCTAGATATTCATGAAAAATTGTAGCACAACAATTTCGCTCCACCTCATTCGATTGAGCAACCATACTCATATTCCATTTGTAAATTCGCTGACGAGAAGAATATAGATTTAATCTCTGCTATAGAAAGTGTGGATCAAGTGGTGGAAAAATTGCACTTCATTCCTGTACGCTGAACCTACTACTACCAATCCGACCAGACCTTACAGATATACCGGGCCTACTAGGGAGACTGGCAGAGTTGACTATGTCCACAACTGCGCGCCCTAAAGTAGCTTTTTCTGAGGTGCTTTTTACAAAAAAAGGGATAAATCTCTTTAGGCCGATCAAGCCGTGAGGGATGTGTCATTAACTCGCTTCGCCACCACTAAAGATCGCAGAGGTGACTGAATGCACATCTGGGCTATAAAATGACTTGAGGGGGCTTTCCAATGTGTCAAGTCAGTGTTTTCATCGTTCCGAACATGTCCAGTATCAATCTGCCGATCTTGGAAGGATGGGAAACTTGGTGAGACCAGAGCGCCTGGTTGAACCAATGACTACGAGTTTATTGCAGAGCACCCATAACCACTGCGCTGCATGCGCACAGTAATTTTTGATAGGAACGAAAAAGCGAGACGCTTAGATGAGAAAGAAATAGAAACATTGCAGAAAGGACGGATTTGACCAACCGTTTATCAAATATTCGATTAAAAGTAATTAGGTGCATATCAGAAAAATTACTTAAATACTTGAATATTTGGATGGCCCGTTCTCACTGGTGGTGTGGGCCCTAGTATAATCTTCATTTTTTCGGAGTTCTGCTGGCTTAGCTATTGTAGTTCCCTGGCAGGCCGAGGTCACCCTGGCCAAAGTCTGCTCCAAGTCGTCACCACCACACCATTCGACTAGTTTGGTAGCAGGACGGTATCCTGATACTGGTTTACTTTTAGCTGGGCTAATTGACGGAAACAATGGGCTTCTTCTCAGCAAGGGAGACTTTACTGGGGCGACAAATCTCCCTGCTTTACGAGAAACACCTTAGCCACGATGAGACAGTGAACCGCTGGGAGGACTACATCAGGAGAGTGCAAAACGGCGCCACTAAAAATTTCCGGTCTTTTCTTTAGTACAGTGAAATAACTTCTATAGCCTAGGCGTGCATTTACTTTTCTTATAATGAAATAAATGCTTTGCAAATTGTGATATTTCTTCTGTGTTCCACCAAATTCATCCATAAACTCTATCCAGGAAGTTGGTTATCCTCTTCGATAAGGTGATACGAAAGTTTAGTACACTTTCTTTTTTCTTTGTTTCTGCTCAAGAACTCTGTGAGATTAGGATAATTTGTTGCTGTTTGTCTTTAGTTTGCAAAGATAGGAAAATTAGTAACATCCTTATACGGGGGAATGAAAATTCTGATCTGACTCGCCGATACGCGATGACAAATTATTGAATGTGCCAGATATGCATTCAGTCAACACTATGAAGAGACTTCGTTATAATCACAATCTCAACCTTTCTATTTACTGCCTTTTTCTTTTCAATGGCAGGGTATGTTGCGAAATATAACTTTTTATAATGCTGAGATATTTGCAAAACTCGGGACCGCAGGTGTATGCGGTGGGGAACGAACGCGCGCTATTGTCCTTACCGGGGAGTAGCGCACTTCACCACCTTACCATCCGGTTCCCCGATTTGGGTTTCCCGGATCAATCCCGTTGAAACCTTTTAAAGCACTGCTAAGACGTAAACTGTGTGGTCCATTGATGATAAACTTAGAATGAGGGGATGAATACCGTAATCGCTACATAACGCTTGCCTTGGCGAGTGCTCTTTTTTGCCAGTAAGTAATTTTTTACAGGACTCAGGAAAGGAGAAAAAAGTGGCGGCGATTTGTACACATCTGGAGGATAGTGTTCAGCTTCAAATGACACGACAAGACGGCGCCACTCTTCTTACACGTGTCCTTAGGTTTGGTCAGCTCAATGGCACATATGTTTGCAAGTTCGTTCGATGTTTCTGAACCTAAAACAACGAGAATTCTTAAGACATCTTCCGAATACAGGATTCTTTAATTACTTTAATTCATTTTCCCATATTCTTCTACAATAATTTCCATATGTGAGTCACTACTAAGCTCACACGATAACTAGTGAAAAGTTGTTAATTCTATTAATGCAAACAATAGTTATCGATTGGTAATATTTAGTTGGTGCAAGTTCCATATTATTCAGCGCTAAGAATAAAATTGGTGTTTAATAAAAACCCTGTTGATTCCAATTAAATTAAGCATAAATGTTTCAGTGTGTACTTGATTACAAAAATTCTCTACGTGATCAATCTAGTCATGCAATTTATTATGATGAATAAATTTCTTGGACAAAACGATCCATATTGGGGTGTTCACATACTCAGCGACATCCTTACTGGCACCGATTGGGAGCTTAGCGGTTAGTTTTATTTTACTTCCACATAAGAAAAATGTGCCTGTGGCCCACCAACCCCTCCCTCAAGCCCACCAACCTTTCACCCTCCGAGGTCGGCAAATTGGTACCAGACTTGTCTGCGAGGATAGCAGCATTGGCTCGATACATCTGTAGGTTACCATGAGTCATTGTACCAACCAGATATGCATTTCGATCGCACCCAAACGATGCTTAATGAAGTCGAATGCATGGGGCATCTCTCAGTGATGGATCAACGCCGACAGCTTTATCCTTTATTTTTATAAGAAAACAAAAACAAAATAAGTAGAACAACCTTTCTTCATGGGTTTATGGAGTAAGCAGTGGTTGAGAACAGTTTAAACCTGAAAACATTACCTGGAAAGACGGTCAAAATCTTTCAGCGACGATTATGGAAGTTTTTCGAGAAGAAGAATGAAACTTCCACAATAAAAATAAGAAAATGAAATGCACTCTACATAGAACCATTCACATCAACTTATAACTTTTCCTCAAAAGCACCGAACTTCATTTAACATTTAAATGAATGATTTCTACGTTTCAGGTAATTTTCCACGTATAGCAATGTGCGATTTCCAGGTTTGTAATAATATTCAATAGAACTAATAAAAGTTTTCGAAATACTTCAGCCAAGAAAGTTTTAGATGTTGGAACAGGATGTACTTGGGTGTCGGACTGTGATTTACAGTATTGTAGCTCTAGTACGGTCGGGTATGTTGAGAAAAAGCCCAGTATCCCAAATGGAACAGCTGTCCAAAAGTAAACCAGTGCCAGCAATTGTTTTCATTCCAGAAGCAGCTTGTCTCATTGTTACAGATCGTACTCAATCCAAAACAAACGAAAACTGCTCCTAGTAAGAACTTACAGATGAAGCAGCTTCAAGCCAGGTCTTAGGTCTTGTGTTCAAGATGGGTGCGACGTACTATTTCCAGAAGTCAGTGTCAAACTGTGATCAAACATTCCCATACCATTTTTTTCATAACCATTCCGTTGTCATCACTTGGACTTTTTGGCATTGTGTCAGTACGACATCATCGGGAAATCGAAAGAATCTTAGTAGGTCTACACAAACTCGGATCATATGGTATGGACGAACCTCACCTTGGGTGAACCCTTGCAAAACAATTAATTGCAGACCTCCACTGAAAATTCTTAGAGGGCTGATAATCTTCGAGCGTTCTATTCTTTTCAACAGTAATGACAATTATCTGAGAGATGCGCCATCCAATCGACTCCTTTAAGGATCATGGAGCTGATTGAGAGCACATCTAGCCTATACAATGAGTCATAAGGACGGGTTACTAATGTAACAAGTCAGCGTTTTTGTTATCTCCTCAAACAAGTTTGATAACGAACTGGCGACTTTGAAGCGACGGAAGGTTAGATGAGCTCAAGGCAAGAGATCAAATCAATCTCCACGTGTGTGTTGTAGGAGATACTTCCAGCCACTGTACTATACACATCCCGTTCTTAATACTTGGTTACTTGGATGGCTCGTCTCCATTGGCTCTGCGGGCACCAGTATTGTTTCCACTTTTTCGAAACCTTGCTCGTTTAGCTAATGTGGTTCCCGAGCCTCCGCAGGTCAGCCTAGTCTAGCCGTAGTCCGCTCCATGTCATCACCACCACAGGCAGCCGCCGTCCTTGTGGATTAGAGAGCGATTTGCCACCAAGAGACTAATTTAATACCAGGACAGTGGCGGATCGTCGTATTGGTTTACTCTTAGTTGGGTTTTCTAGTGGAAACGCCGAAATCCTCATTACACCCTGTACAGAGATATTTGCTGAGATATTGCTGAGATATTTGCAAAACTCCGGACCGCAGGTGTATGCGGTGGGGAACGAACGCGCGCTATTGTCCTTACCGCACTTCACCACCACACCAACCGAGTCCTTCATTTTGCCTGTCTATCAGCTAGTTCTATTCATATTTTGCCATCAGCAATCACCCGTCAACGAGATTGATCTGGGGAGCCCAAATCGGCATTGAACCCAGTTAAACTGAGGCTTAGTTATAATCACAATCTCAACCTTTTTATTTACTGCCTTTTTCTTTTTAATGGCAAAGTATGTTGCGAAATAGCGCACTTCACCACACCATCCGGGTCCTTCGTTTTGCCTGTCTCTCAGCTAGTTCTACTGATCTTTTGCCATGCGCTACTTCCCGGAAAGGACAATAGCGCGCATTCGTTCCCCACCGCATACACCTGCTGTCCGGAGTTTTGCAAATATCTCAGCTTTATATACGAGTTATATTTCGCAACATACCCTGCCATTAAAAAAAAGAAAAAGGCAGTAAATAAAAGGGTTGAGAATATCAGTATTATTAACAATAATCTTAGTAACAGTTCAATATCAGGTTCGCGTTCTCGGGAACTCGCAACGTTACTCTATTCAATGTGTGTTATCACTGAATATGTTTAATGAGAAGATTTTCCTCTTTCTGTATTTCTGGTTCATCGTTGTGGGATTTGTCACCGCTATTGACGCTCTCAATCTGGCATACTATACGCGAGTGAACACGCAAAAATTACAGTATGTACAAAGGTACGTAAGTTCATTCTACACTATACTCCAGTAAACCATCATATAATTAGTAGTTTAGTAGCAAATATTTATGGGTATTAAATTTTGACCAAGCATCAAACAATTTCTAAGTGTAAAAAGGAATGGTGAATAGGACGCGTGTGGCGCAGCTGAGTCTGTGTCTGAGGCGCCCATCAGCACACACGTGGAATCGATCCCGTGTCCTTGGCCCACTAAACCTTCCATCCCTCCAGGGTGGAAAAATTCGTACCAGACTTGTCTGTGAGGATAGCTGCACTGGCTCGATACATCGTTAGGGTACCGCGAGTTATTGTAAAGGCCAAATATGCGTTCAATCACCTCCATAGATGCTTAATGAAGTCGAATGCATGGCGCATCACTCAGGGATTGATCAACGTCGAGAGCTGTATACTTTATCCTTTTAAAAAGTAATGGCATCCGAACTAGTATTTGAAATTGTTTCCCCTCCAAATACAACATTTTTCTCACGAACCGATAGTTTTGGGGATTGTTCATTGTTAATACAAATAGATTCCTGAGAATAAAGACCACAGTTTTGCCAAGGGCTTTACCGACTCATAGTGGCTGGGAGGTGTTCCTGGATGTCGCACTGCGATGTACAGCAGGAGGATTCGTCCCACTGCGAAGGTCTCCCAAGCTGAGAAGGAGTCCAGTGTTTCCATTAGAAAGCCTAGCTAAGTGTAAACCAATACCAGGATTCACCACCGTCCTGGTATCAAAATCGCATGGTGGCAAACCTCGCTCTGATCCAGGAGGGCTGCGACTGCCTGTCGTGGTGACGGCCTGAGGCAGACTTTGGCGAGGCTGTCCTCAGGATTCCAGGGAACCACAATGGCTTAACCAGCAAATCTTCGAGAAATGGTGATTATGCTGGGGCCCGCACAACTAATGAGGACGAGCAGTTCAAGTGTCAAGTATCAAGTAGAGATCATAACAATATCTTCTCTTTTCTATTTGGTCTCCCACTCAGCCTTACGGCAAAATATTCTTCGAAGAATATTAGACTCCTGTAGTTCAACTTTACCTCTTTCTTCGGTATTGAAGCCTATTAGTTTCGAAAGGACTGTTCGAGTGCTGCCAAGTCAGTACTTGAAAGGACTGAGACTTTTCGTTGACTATTTTTTCATGACAGGATCACGAAGATGTGTAAATGCTCACGCATTTCTAACCAAATGAAAAATTTCTGTGACCTACGCACACAAACCATACTACTACTTTGAGTGCGCGTTCACATAATATATTTGTATCATACAAACTTACTAATAAATCATCTTTATATTCACGATGCTCCAGCAAGGTTAACCCATGTGAGACAAGTCCGAAGGATTTCTGGTGATCGAAAACAGCTGCGAGGTATCGTACGAGCTTCTGGAGACTACCAACTTATGTCCGATGATGAATTTAACGGAGCGCGTGGAGCGGGCGTACAACCACCCTCATCAACTAACCGGCTTTCTTTCTCACAGGATATCTATTAGATTGCAAAGTTCTTGCCCTTAACAGAAAACGAAAGAGGTCTTGTGACGAAGTAGTTAAAGGTGTCCAGCAATACAGACTGGATGTGTTGTCAGTTCGATCACACTCCAAGGCACTAAAATATTAGATGAAGAACAGGCACCTGAGCAAGCAGTTTCACAACTGGTTCAACACGATGGACTGTTTCTACACCATATCGAACCTTGTTTAAGTGTCGCGAGAGCGCATTAGGCTAACCGGATCCCTTGTTATTGACTCAAAAAATGTCTTGAGACTCAAGGAGTTATGGAGGTTCTGGACAAGTAGGGCGTCTGTGCTTAATATGCAAACACCCTTCATGAGCTTAATAGAAATATCGAAAACAAAACCTCATCATTCTACAATGGGCTTAATGGATGGGGTTCTGCAAGACGATGATATCTAACCTAAATTACTCACAGCAACTCTTCAGAATATCTTGAAAAAACTAAGATGAGATAACATGAGATAAAAGTTAGTGAGTAAACCAACTTCGCCTTGGCAGTGACATCGTCCTTATACCACCAATCACCAGCCAAGCAGAACGAATGTTAGCGGATTTTGCCTACGTGTGAAAACTCGTTCTTCGGTTGAACGTCCAAAGAACGATGTTCATTGAGAAAAGGATTGCTAGCTAATGCCCAGTTCATGCTCAACAGAACGAATATACCTGAAGCTTCAGGTATGTAAACCTTGACTGGGAATTTAACACGAATGGCACAGTTGCTGACCAGAGCGAGAAGAAATGACCCAAGCGAGCAACTTAGAGTGCATGCAAGATCATCGAAGACCTAATTAAGAGCATAGAAAAGGATAAATGACAAGATTATTGAAAGCGATGATCATAGGAGTATCGCATACCATATAAGTGAAAGCGAAGACCTGAAGTTCCGACTTCGTCGACGATTAATGATTAAAGTCTCGCTCTCTTACGTCAGGATGTTGAAAACAATGTGGACGGTTCACATAACATGTTCTCATGACAAACGATGGATAAGAGCCGTATGTAGACAGTTACAACAGGATGTGAAACGCATATGAGGAAGATAAAGACAATCGGGTGATCAAACAACTTCAAGGAAGCCCTGAAGGGAAAATTCAACTTTACTAGACCACCAGCATTGTCCGCTTTGCCTACAACTAAATCACCCTTTGCGCTTTGTTGAACTAAATTAAACAGCATGGAAATTTGGTCCGAGATCTATTTATCCTGACGGTTTCGAAAAACAGTTGTTGGTCGTCTCTCTCCCTCCCTCCCTCTCTCTGTCTGTTCGTCTGTCAACCACATCAAACCACAGTAGATTTCCTGAGTTGATAAAACATGCAAAATATCCCAACTTTTTATGCACTGTCCCTTCTTTTTCCATGGTTTGTATGATGCGAACTACAGCCACAAGGCGGTTGAGACATAAGCAAGACTCGGAATATATGAGCATCAACTTTATCTTTGATACATCTACCACTAATATATAACTAGAATATTACTTTACTGCAACCGTTATCCCAGTTGCAACTGTATAATTTTTCATGACTTTGGGTTAACGGCTATTTTGCATGGTTTCTTATACCAATCGACATTCATTAAAGATTCATCAAGTCATCTTCTACCGACGAAACATTGATGAACGACTTTTGTCAGCACCAAATCAACGCGGACATGTTGGTGATTTTTAATATGATTAGCGGCCATGCTAATGAAGTAATCACGTCGGACATCATTCAACAAATGTGGAGGAACTATGGGTAAGCAGGAGAATCTTATGCGTTTAACAAAGCATTACTAGCACAATGGAGTGCCGGCCGCATGGGTAACGTATAGTAGTCCTATAGAGTTCAATAAACATGAAGTGAACAAGGGATCAAAAAATGTTTTTACATGTAAGATTTCGAGATCTTCTTATTGGATCCTCTCATCATCATCAATAATCAAAGAATGATTCGAGCTGATACAAACGGTAGTGTCCATATTGCTCGGACAGGCATGAGTACTGGTCACTGTGCTTGGATAATTTAGAGAATTATACTATAAAGCTCTGTAATTTTACTCATTTTGAATAAGGAATTTACGCAGAGCTCCCAGTTCACCCGGAATAGATGTGGGGGTTTACTCAATGCAATATAGACCAGCGGCCGCGTGAGAATTTCCGATCTTCAAACGGTAGAGGTTTCAACGAGCGTAGTACAATCCCTGCACCTATGAGCACACTGACCTATGTATACCACCTGTATCACCTACCGTTGATCGTCGAGTGACACGAGCGGGCGTCAGTAAATCTTCCATTTTTCCCTGTTGCATGAAATAGTAGCCCAGTAGGTTCTGCTCGCTCTAAGAACTCGTTGAGCATCATTTCTTTCTTCTAGGCTTTTCTTGAAGAACTCTCATCATCGGGTCGGTGGTCTTCCTGCAGTGCGTTTAAAATCCCGAGGAATCCAGTCACTAACGGCTCTTCTCCATCAGTTGTCATTCATAGGCATTACGTGTTCCACCTTATCTTCGACTGTTTGGCCTACAGAATGGCTTTTGATCGTTGACGCAGTCGGAGCTTCGGATCCCTTCACTCACTTGCGTGACAAGCCATGACTGCGACTGCGTGCGCGTTCAATAACCCTGAGTGACTTTTCATCCTGCTTACGCAACGACCAGGTTTCTGACGCATACATTAGGGCACGAAATACCGTTGAGTCGAAAAGGTGGGCACGGAGCCGGGTGTACTTTGTTCTCTTCACTACATCCTCGATGCTTTTGAAAGCTCCCCAAGTCGCTCGTTTTCTTCTGCTCAGCTTTGGAGCTAGGTCGTTCACCATATTGATCTTCGGACGAAGACATACGTAACTGGAGCATTCGGAGACATTCGTCCCATTGAGCGTGAATGGGGTATACAAGATCAATTCGTTCCTCATAAACATCGTCTTTCCAAGATTTAGTCGAAAACCAATCTTTCCACAGGCTTTATCAAAGTAGGCAAGCATACGTTCGGCTTGGCTAATGGTTATAGCTATAAGGACAATGTCATCAGCAAAACGAAGATGGTGTAATTGCCGACCATCGATTTTCACTCCCATATTATCCCAATGTGTGCATAACGTTCTCGAGGGTGGCGGTAAATAATTTTGGAGAAATGGTATCGCCTTGCCTAACCCCTCTTCTAACGTCGATATTAATATCGTTGTAGAATGGTGATAACATGGTTGTGAAATTTTTGTACAACTCATGAAGAAACTTCATGTACTGAGAAGGGACTCTCTGACTATCAAGGGCTACCATGACTGCTTCTATCTCAGTTGAGTCAAAGTCGTTCCTTAAATCAATGAACGTGAGATAAAGCAGTCCTTTGTACTCTAGCGATACTTCAGTGAGTCTTGTTATCGTGTAGATTTGGTCCATCGTACTAAATCCTTTTCGAAACCCTGCTTGCTCACATGGCTGTCCTTCGTTCAGTGTTCTGTCAATCCCCATCAGGATGACTCGAGTGAAAAGTTCGTAGACGACAGAAAGCAAGCAGATTGGGCGATAGTTGCCGATATCGTGCAAGTCACCCTTTTTGAACATTAGCACGGTCTTGTTGGTCTTCTACTGAGTAGGGACCTTGCATTCAGAACGGTAACGTGTGAAGAGCCGAGTCAGTGTGTTCATGAGGACTGGCCGGAGGTTCTTCAGGTGTTCTGGTCTTATCCTGTCCGGAGCTGGTGCTTTTCGATTTTTCACCGACGAAATGGCACGGTCGGATTTCGGGAGAACCGGTGGTACAACATATCCATACTCCTTTATTTCATATGACGGAAGGTGGACGTGGTTCTTGAAGAGATCCGAGTAACATTCATGAATGATTTTCTCCATTGCCTTTCTGGACGCTGTAACTGTTCCATCTGGGCGCCGGAGTGCAATTATTTTGGTCCTGTAATTGGCGAAGCTTCGGTGGGCTTCGCGAACGCTTTTCCCACGTTGTGAAGTTTCGACCATTACTGGTGCTCTTCTCTCTTTAACATGTTCTTTTATCGCCTATCTGCATTGTTTTGCAAGTTCGGACGTTAGTACACGGTTGCCTACGGCTCGTGCGAATCCACGCTAGCAGAACAGCTCGAGTTTCTTGAGACAGATGTCTCTTGGTGACTTTCAAACTCTTAGCTTTCACAGCGCTAACGTGGAGATGCTGAGTCAGCCGATCATATTCCTCGTCGATATTATCGACAACGGCATCTTCTCAACAGCCAACTAATGAATTGAATAAGTCCCAATTTATAGTGGTTTTGGGACTTTGTTCTTTGAATTTACGGCTCTTTCTCCTTTCTGCGAGAAATCGAGTTTTGCACGGAGACCGTGATCTGATCGCTAACCCTCTTCGTTCCATTCCAATCCGTGAGTTCCAATGCGACGTTCTTCTTGGCCCAATCTTGGCGTTGAAATCTCCAATGACCTTGAGGAATGTGTGGTCTTCGCTGTAGAACTTCTCCAAGTCCATATCGAACGCTTCGACTTCTTCTTCGTCATAGCTTGATGTCGGCGCGTAAACGACGAAGATTGTCAAAGCCGGTATTGATGCACACGTTTTAATCGTAAACGTCCGATTCGTGTGGTAAGTTGTTCAAATGAATCGATGTTCATGGATAAACTGGTGTTGACGAGAGCGCCGATACTGCCGACTCCTCTACTGTCGCATGTTGCGAGGAACAGTTCTTGTCCAATGTCATAGACGGCGTTGAAAGGCTGGCGTTGCCTCGTCTCGACCAGGTCGATGACGTAGTTCCTTATCCCTCTCGATTGCATGATCAATTCTTCTTTCGAGGGCTCAGACGCAAGTGTACGTGCATTGTAGGTACAGATCGTCCTTAGTTCGTTGCGATCCAGGCAGCTTCCCTTGGCTCTGAGATCTCTCCATATTAGTCCTACTCAAGCTGCCGAATTGGGAGCTCTTTCGGGGTCAGGGGAATCGTTTCTTTTATTGCTTTTAGCTTCTTGATACCCACGTATAGCTTACTAGGCTGTGAACGTGGAGACTGGGTATAGTTACGAGTGCCTTGCCGGACTCTCCCAAAGTGGACGTGGAGCTTATTTGTTGGAGGCAACTCCTAATCGCCTCCCGTACACTTTCCTGTTACTTGATTCCAGGTTTTTGGCCGAATTGACTCGAAAATGCACCCATACACGCATGTATGAATACACCTCTCAAATACAGAAAGTATGTCGAAAATCCAAATCGGCGCAGTAGAAACAGGAAGTCCATCCTCTGGATCCACCTGCGTCTCAGGCAAACACAAAGTCGCTTTTGATCTGCGATTTATCCCCTATCTGCCCATCTGTGGACGCGCCACGTAGCCTTACGACTAATCGGCTCGAGATCCCTTATATGAGGGACCTCCGTTGACCAATGTATATACAAAAGGATAAATCATTTTAACGTAGCACGTATAAAGAGTGAATCTCTTGAATTCTACTGCGTCTCATCCGAAGCACATGGTTGCATTCGGTACTCGACACTCGACCACCATGAAGACGCATCACGTAGCCTTATAGTCTGAGACCTCATCACTCATGAGGACACTCGTGATCCCAGTTGGATGTCAGTACTAAAAAATATTGGAGTACTGCCAGCAATCAAGCAGAAAATCTAGAAAATATAGGTGGACGGTTTTCACAAATAAAGTAATAGCTTCAGGAAACGACGAGCAGCTACTGGAAACGACTTGCCTTTTTCTGATAAAAAGAAAGGTGACGGTGAAGAATCACTGCCATTGATATTTGCTTAGCTAGTAACAGTAAGAAAGAGCTCAATAAAAGTTTTTAAACTCATAGTTTTTCGGGAAGTTCTCGGCAGTGACGATACAATTCAGGAACAAACTGTTTTCATTTCCCTTACATTTTCATTATATCACAGAAGACGAAAATAAACCAAGCAAAAAGAAAGCCCTTAAACAATAGAGAATCTCATTTCACCATACCTATCAAAGAAAAACCTTCAAATTGCTGTAACACTGGGGCTAAATCTTCTTGAGCAGAACCACCAGAAATGAGGTGAGAAAATGGACTAGAGATGAGTTTAACTAAATATTAACTAAAACCTATTCTACAATTTCCCCGTCTTCAACATCTTCCTCGTCAACAACAATCAAATCGCCGATTGGAATGGGAGCAGTACCACATTCTACAGAATCTACATTTCTGCAGTCTTCCCTGAGAGGAGATATACAGCGTTTCCTTCGTTTCTCTCTGGGACTACGTAATGGCGATTTGGGTTTCGCTCCACCATCAGCAGGACTTCTTCCAACATGCTGTCCTAGAATACCACAGCTATGATTCAAAAACATGAAAAGGTACCTGCTACAGAGTACTAAAGAACGATCACTTTGTGTTTACTAACACAGTCGCAACGACGTGATTTGATTTCAAATCGTATCTAGCCACATTGTTTGGTACGATTTCCATGCCTGCACAACTTCTCATGTTGAAAAGAGTTAAAATTCTAATTTTTGCATCGTATTCTGAGCAAGGGTTGAACAATAAGGACTTTAATCAGCCATACAGATGGTGTCCTTTAGTGTTTATGAATTGTTGAAGTTTGCAACTACAGCGTTTGTGCTAACAATTCTAGAAGTTTGGTTTCCAATTCCGTTTTAATCCGAATTTCAAGCGATCGCCACGTCAAGAACGACAGTGAGGAGCCGCTCTTATAGCCCTTCGTTCTCATGTTTTTAAGTACTCCAATTATCGAAAAATACGTGGAAGCCGATGAAAACTACGTCCCATTGCAATGTGGTAAACCACATTCTGAAGATGAAAACTTACTTCTACTTCTCGATTTACTTCTTCCCCTAGGATTTCTATACTTGGAGTCTCTAGTGGAATCAGAACTTCGTGATGAACACTTCAATACTAAAATATTGCATGAATCCAAATGAGAGAATACAGTAATTTACTCGAAACATTACCTTGTTGATGGCGTTCAACTGGTCTCATGAACTGATGGGATTTCAGTTCAGCATTCTTATCTAGTGAGATTCTATTCCGGTAAGTTCTACCATCATCCATTCTAGAATGGTGCCGATGCGAAACGTCTTCAAAAGAATGCATTCATAGCGCGTATAAAAACGAACTTAGTCTTATGCGAACTCACCATCGTAAGAAGACACCTTTGAATGTCTAGACTGACTGGTTCTTGAACTTGTACTGCTGTCCTTAGAATAACCTGAACACTTTTTGTATTGGCTAGTTGTAGCACAAATTCAGGCATATTAAAACAAAAGTGGCACAAAAAAAGAATAAATCAAATTCCTGAAATCGTTTTTGAAAAATGAACAATAAGTGCCACTTTTATACGCTTCACAAGAGAAATGCCAAAACTTTAAAAGAAATACATGCCTCGGATGGAATTTCCTCTTCTATCCGTTGTATGTCTGTCAACGTCTTCGCGGAGCCTTTTAGTGGAGTCTTCTCGTCGACATCTATCTTCGGAATGACTTCGGGACAAAGTTATTCCTCTATGACTCTCTGAGCACTTACATTTCTCCACGTCAATCTTCTGATTCTCATTTTGATGCTCGTTGAGCCCATTTTTTACTTCAGTTGCTTTTATGTTACTAAGTTTGTTTGAGATCTCATTCTCGTTCTTAATTTTCCAATACTGTCCATCGGTTCTTATTCCTTCATTCTGACCCTCATTGGAAAATCCGATTTTATACATTGGTTTCAACAAGCTTTTAGACAAACTCCTTGGAGAGTAATTCTTCAGCGTTACATGAACATCATGCTTGCGATTTGTTTCATGTATATTAATTTGACTACACATCGCCCTTGCACTAGACACTCCGCTAGCGTTTTCCTTGCCGAAAACTGTTCTCCAGGGCTGGCGCCTGATTGTATCTTCTTTCTTGTCAACATGAGTCCGTCGATTGTTGGAAATCCACTCAGAGCTATCGTTTTTTCTTGGATATTGGTGGCCGTTGGTCTTCTCCTCTCCCTTATTCGCGTGAGTCTCGTGCTTGTTGAGAATTTTTTCACAGCTGTCATTTGCAGCTGGTCCACCGTCATTTTTCATCCTTTTCATCAACTCATTACAACAAACTTGAGATGCCTCATCACGGTCATAGTTCTCACCCTGCTCAGGAATTCTCGTGTCGGTTATACTGGGCGCTTCATTGCGCTGGTTTGTTTCCAGTAACTCAGGATAAAGACAATGCTTTACAGCTACCTGTGCTTCACCTTGGTTGTGCTTACTATTAAAATCCTTAGGAATAAAATGTGAAGAAGTAAACGACTCCTCGATGTCCTCTTTATCACTGTCATTAGAGCATTTACTCTCCAAACAATTCTTTGAAACGTTTGCGAGACCCTGTGCTGCCGAATTCGCCATAATTCTCTTTTGTGGAAGAAGTCGATCCGAGGAAGAACTGCTTGCTGACGCATTTGTACATTCGTCACGTGAACGAGGTCGAATACTAATTACTACTTTCTTGTTTTTTGCCTCAAATTCTTGTTTTTCCTTGACTAGTTTGTACAGCAAACTTCCAGTCGATTTCAAATCTGGTTTGTGATCTTCACGTTGCACCTAAACGCTTTAAAGTGAGGGTAAACAAGAAAAAAGGATAAAAATTTCAACTATTCAACTTCAGAAAGTTTTCAACAATGAATACCATAGTAGGAAGTCCATCGGCATTTTCGTCAAGCTTATTCAGTGTCAACCATTCCGACATTTGCTCCAAGGAGAAGAACTCGATTTCGATTGACAATTTTCCTCGAAATACCTTAGGAAGAAATTGTTACAATAAAAGCGCTAAAGCACTAAAGTTAAGGTTTGCAACCTTAACTAAACCAGTTACCTTAATGTACTTCGGAAGCACACGATGTTCTCTCTCTGGTTTGAAACGAAACAAACATGCTGGGCATTCAGTTAGACCACTAGCCTGCAGTCTAAAAGTAAAATTTTCTTATGTTAAAGCAATATTCTTGTAAAAAAATCCAACGAAACATACTTTTGTTTTAGGGAAGTGTTTTCGAGTTTTAAATCGCTGATTTCTTTTCGAGCTGTGATTATTAATTTCCGCATATTGTCAGCATATATTGGAAGCTTCTTCTCAAAATTATTGCGAACCTAAACACAGAAACGTCCGAAACGCAGAGAACTGGCGTCTGCGGTTGTGACTTTCATAAGGTGAGGTGGAATCTCGACAGAACGTAAATACTGTCTCGGAATACACTGTTTCTCGTTTTTTTCCTTTCAAGACAAAACGAATAACTCTACATATGGTCTTCACCTCACATACTTATATACCTGGATAGCCCGCCTTCACTGGTTGTGCAGCGCGCAATATGATTTTCACTTTTTTTGGAGTTCTGGTGGTTTAGCTCTTGTGGTTTTCCGGAGTCCCAAAACCAGCGTAGCCAAAATCTGCCCCAGCTCATCACCACCGCAGGCAGTCGCCGTCTTTGTAGATCAGAGTGAGATTTACCATAATGCGACAAGTTTGGTACCAGGACGGTAGTGGATCCTGGTATTGGTTTACTCCTAACTGAGCTTTCTGACGGAAACGCCGGACTCCTTCTCAGCTTGGGAGACCCTGCTGGGGGATAAATGCCTTCGCTACACATCGCTGCACGACATCTAGGAACACCTCCCAGCTACGATGACGCGTTAAACCGTTAGGAGCCTTCACCCTACCTAGAATAACAAGCAATGGAAATTAATGCAAAGCCAACAGAAATATAACACACCGCTTCAATAGAGTCGACATCGTCAGGCGGTGAGTTCAATCTTCTTGCAGGTTTCTCTGGGCTACCTACACGAAAAAACACTTATTCAAGTATTCTATTTGAGAAATACCGCACCTATTCTGAAACGGGAATGTGTGTTTCAAAATGAAAGTAAGCCCTCATACCAGCTGCCTTTGAGAAGAAACAGATACTTACGTGGTCAACTAATTCCATTTTTTCCAATCGTCACAAGTACAGTCCTTTCAGCCGGGACGATTAGTCTAGGTGATGCATGTAACAACACGCGTCGTAGATGGTCCGCTTGGATCCTCTGTACTTACTTGTTAGTCTTCTTTTCCACCATCACCTTCCGGTCTATCCGTTCACTATAGTATGCATATGAAGACAATCTCCTTAGCATAGCTGCTTATCGGGTTCAATAAGCAGGTAGAGGAATCCCAAAAATCAATCCGGTCAACTTCCTGCTTTGAAAAACCGCTCTCCTTCGTTAAGAAGAAATGTTCCTTCTTAATACATGGTGTCGTGCTTTATGCAAGTAGTCAATGAATTGTAAATGTTGTATAATGCTAGTGAAATCAACTGGAAGCAAATAATCTCCGCTGCTTACACAACTAACCAAGTTGTTCAAAAATCCAGTGGTCATCTTCCGTTTCACGTCGATCACCAACTAGGCAAGAATTGCTCATAGGTAACTGAAACATCCATGAGCACATTTCAAACCAAGGATAAGGAAAATGATAAGAATGATAGTTTATCAATGAATAGAGTACACTGATAGCTTATCAATGAAATAGAGTACATTGATCATTTACACCGAGGTTAAATGAAGGTCGGTTCACAATGATAAAAGAAAAATACTTTAAAACAGGGCAGTAAAGGTGGAATTAAAAGAATAGATACGACCGAATTTCATAGCATGTGAAAGATTAAATCGACCGACAAACGGTCTCTCTCAACTGGTGCAATTTCCAGACCTCAAGAGCTGCTTGCTAAAAAAAGCTTCTGTTCCTTATAACTGTCAGTAATAAGTCACGTTGCCGGATAGTACTTGGTTGTTGGGCGCTCTTAGCGCAGTGGTCAGAGGTACGCTGCAATACAGTTGGGATAGATCACCGTGCCTGAGGCTCACCAAGCCTTCCATCCATCCCGGGTAGGAAAATTGGTACCACACTTGTCTGGGAGGATAGTAGCACTGGCTCGATACATCGGTAGGCCACCACGAGTGTAAAGGCCAGATATGCATTCAATCACCTCCAACGAAACTTAATGAAGTCGAATACATGGCGCACCCTACGGGGATTGATCAACGCCGAGAGCTTTATCTTTTTTTTTATTAGGCTGCTCGAAATATAATGGCGGATTTCAACGCGTTTTAATTAATTAAAATTTGTCTTTTCATATTGCCGCTTTGGCATAGCCAAGTTCAGAACAAACTTTATTAGTCCAGATAAAAACCATTAGAATCTACACATTAATGATTAGAGAAACTTTTTTATCTATACTGATTGGTTATTCTGGAGTTCAAAAAGCGAAGAGTTCATTGGAGTAGGGTCTTTGGCCTCTGAAGCATTTCTCGCACAAGAAGTTATCGAGAAATACGAACAAATTGTAGTGTGTCGGCGAGAACACCAAGTAGCATGGTGGATGAGGCAGTTTCGTAGACCAGTTGGTTCAAAATTTACGGTGCTGGTTCTGCTTCTTGTAATCCGAAGTTATCGTGCAGCAAAACAGATCACCTATTGGGATGTTAATAGAAAGTCGATCATGGGAACGACTTCTATTCCTGTTGACCAACTACGAGCACGGACGTTGAATCTCATGATGCACTTCGTCAGCTTGTATGATTTCTTTGATTAAGTGATTTTCTTCGTATTTTTGCTGAGTAAACTCGAGGTGTTACTATTTTTTGTTCACGATTAAGCTGACGTTTCGGCGGATTTCGCCTTCTTCAGAGCCGCTTCAGACATTATACTTCCATGTGATTTCTGTGCGGTTGGTCTCTACGTGACATACTTAGTGGAAACCTCATANGAAAAAAGGGAAAACCCCGCCGAAACAGCTTAATCGTGAACAAAAAATAGTAACACCTCGAGTTTGCTCAACAAAAATACGAAGAAAATCACTTGATCAATGCCGAGGTTAATAGAAAGTCGGTCGTGGCAGTTACTGCAAGATGTACCAGCAAGATATTTCTTTGATTGTTCTTTAATTCTTGCAGAATCTATTTATCATGCTTCATCAACTTCTCCATTCTCTTTAGACCAACCGAAAAAGTTAAGATGCCTAGAACGAGTCCTTCTACAAGTTCCCAAACAGTTGCAGAAGTATCTACTCCCACTAAATCTTTGAACTCAATGTTGCCAATAGCAGAAGGACATCCGTGAAATACCTCATCTCCAAAGTCGAAAGTTTGAATCCAACATCGCACTTCGTGTTCGTTAACACGTTCTTGACACCATATCCTAGTAATGTTTCGAGCCGTCTGCACTCAACCCACCTCCGAGTATGAATTCGTAGAAGTCAATTTGTCGAGATCGCCGTTCTGATATCTCAATTTCTAACGTGTAAAGTTTGTCAAGAACACAATTTGTATTGTAACTCAACTACACAAAGCGAAAGTGCATGGAATGAGCTTGCAGTGATATGCAATAGTACAATATTTGAGAAAAAGACTTCTTGATGAAATATTAAAAAAGAATGAAGGATAAAGCCCTCGGCGTTGATCAATCGCTGAGGGATGTGCCAAGAATTCGACTTCATTAAGTATCGCTGGAGGTGACTGAATGGATATCTGGCTTTCATAATGATTCGCTGTGGTCTACCGAAGTATCGAGCTAGCGCTGCTATCCCAGACAAGTATGGTACCGATTTTCCGACCCCGGGGGGATGGAAGGCTTGGTGAGCCTTAGACGAGGAGGTTGATTGATTCCATGTGTATTACAGGGCTCCTTCAACTACTGCGCCACACGCGCCCTAGTGATAAAACATATTCAGAGAAAATGAAATATCAAGTCGGATATTCGTTTCCAAACAATCAAATATATCATTTAACTGAACTCGATACTTACTGTTTATCTCTGTAGAACAGTTCTATCATGCCAAGTTTAGCTCGCCGCATTATCTTCCAAAGGTGATGTTCGAAAAATACAAAGATAACTTTACTTCTGCTTATTCATGACATAGATGGGAACGTACACACATTTAAATGTTAACATCTATACTTTGTCGGTTTTCGATGAATGAAATTGAAATCACAACATATTAGCACCTACGGCTCAATATCAGAGATCTCCATTTATACATAAGGTAGTGACAGCTCGACCCGGATGAATTGATATCAACTCGTTCACTTCCTAGTTGTCGATTTTAGCGCATAAAGAACTTTTGCTATACTTTTTCTATTCATCTGATACCTAATCCATCATGGACCACTGCACTTGGTGTCGAACCAGAAAAAAAGACTGTTGCCCAAATTAAGCACTACGGAAAAACTGCGGAGCGGTTTGTTCGTCAGACCATAATGACTGATGCTGATGACGAGGGTACAGGGCATGACGAGTATCACAGATACGGACAATGCTAAGATATAACTTCAATGATGCTGAGATATTTGCGAAACTCCGATCAAAAAAGGACGTGTATGGTGTGGTGGTGAACGCGTTACTCCCCGGAAAGGACAACAGCGCGTTGGTTCCACCGCAGACGCCTGCGGTCAGGAGTCTTGCAAATATCTCAGCATTATTGAAGTTATATTTCGCAATATACCCTGCCGTTAGAAAGAGTAGGCAGTAAATAACAAGTCAAAATTAAAAATACTAAGATAATTTCGGCGTTCGACACAAATACAGCGGAAATTTCTTTCTGTACCTCAACAGTGTAATGACTGCTTCAGATGAGGAGGGTGTACATGAGTACATGTACTCACTCACTGTACATGTACTCATGACCGCCATGAGTTGACTTCGATTCATAGTTCATGCATTTTAAAAAATTGATGTCTATTAAATTCAGCGGTCGTATAAAATTTGCCAACAGAGTCTACGTGTTACTATAGCAGAGTTTTCAAAATTTCCAATATAGGCACAATAGACGCGAACATAAACGAGAAGTTCTGAGTCGCAAGGGTATATTGCTGGACTAATACCCGCTATTTCATGGTCTTGTTGGTAAACATCTGCGTAATGTTCTGTTATGTGCATTAGATGAATTAACCATAAGCGGGCACTGTTCTTTTTTTTTTAAATCTTACACGGTCTATCTTTCACATCCCCAACACGGATCTCAGCATTTCTAACATTGGATTCATTGGATTCGTTTCCTTGCACCTATCATCCATGAAGGTCTTCCAAGTTTTTACGTGTGGCTTCGGCTGCTTCTTGAGGATCTTCATTTCATTTTGAATGTCGCGGAACGCCGGTCGAGTCGATTCTCCCTGGACTCCTGAGATAGCCAGGTTAGATCCCAATTAGTCCAATTTCCCGACCACATAGGGATAAGAGGCTTGGTGAGGCCTGAGCGAGACGAACCAGAACCGTGGTCGTGACGATCGACATCGGCACCACTGTCCGGCTCTTGCGATTGCTGGAACGCTAAATTTTTCTCAAGCTTTCCTGCTCGAAACACGAGCGTTGACGACAAAAAGCAAAACAACAGAAGCCAAAGGCACCAAAGATCACAAGTTTATCGCAGCAGAATACGTAAGATTATATGTTCTTAGATGACATTCGAAGATTCTAGCGGCTTCATTTAGCCTAATCCGACTATTTCAGCTTATTGTGAATTTTACTAGTCAACATATAGGCAACCAAAGTGCACATCTTTAACAACAACAGTAAAGCGGATTTTTGCACAGCAGGACACAATAGTGTACTGTACCCCAATATATCGCTGCTGTTTTCCGCTTCTATGTCTGCCTCGAAATTTTAAATCCAAATACCCATTATATTAAGAACTTTCCTTAGTCAGCTTACACAAGGTTTTCACAAACATACTGATGTACCACGGCTTATGTTTCAACGACTTCGACCTGTTCGGATCCGCCTTTGTCTTCAAAGAGTGGGACCACCCCTACGTTGTTCACACTGTAGGATGGTAAATCATTTTTAAGTTAAGAGATTAATGATAATTCTAAACTAACTGTGGAACCGACTACACAACGGTCTATGTAAAATGGAGCGTTGCATTATAAGCCTTAACGGCTGAGAAAGATTGAATGAGTGTTTCAGATATGCGGGGACGAATACATTTGCAAAACGGAAAGATCACTTTGTCTCCGCACATGAAGACACCTAGATAGGAAGTTGCAAAGTTATAAAAGCAGTCCTCAAGGGACATGTAAGGCATAAAATACAACGGTGATGTTCTTGAAGTGGAATTCACGATTCTGGCGCAGGAATCATAAACATCAACACGCAAAACCCTTGAGGCATTTTGGATAAACTTCAAGAATTCAAACGAAAGTCTCACTGTCACAAGTGACCTAGCGACTAATGTCAGATTAAACATCTGACAGGAGTAAACTACTTTCCTCACCTTATGTGAATAACATACGAGTGGTTTCACTCTTTTAAAACGAAAACTGCCCTGAACAAGGTGTCCCAGCCAAAATTTTAGCCGTGGAATGCACACCAATAGGTCTTAGCCGTCTCATATAGGATCTTTAAGTTCATGTAAGATCTCAAACAGA